GGAAGTAGCATCGAAAGAAAGTATCGATGCCTAGTAAGTATCGGGCTAAAAGTATCGATACCTACTTATATCGATATTTGTACCTATATAAGAATTGTTTCTATAAAAAACGCCATCACATATCTATGATTTTTTGTCAAAATAACTTATGTGACTATAATTTTTGATTTTAGGCGAATGCTACTTAATCTTTTTAAGAAAACCTTTAAGTTCCAAGACATGGTTTACTAGGATGGCCTCCCAGAAAACAAGAAAAAGGGCAAAGTCCAATACGTTGTTTTTAAAAAGTCCCCAGAGTTTTGTTAACAGAATTGTATTCGTTTGTATGTATGTACGTATTTTATTTGTTATACTTATTATTTATTTTGTACAAAGAGAAAGCGATTGAGATCAAAAACAATTATTTTATAATTTATTTCATACAAATGAATTAATTAATAAAAGTCATCTGTATTATAACACTGTTCATCAGCAGTTCTGCAAAGTAACAATGGTACATTTCTGAAAAAAGTAATCATGTTAATAATTTTTAGAGTGAAAAGCTGCTAAGTCCATTTGTAGAAAATTTAAAGGGGAGGAAAAAAACTTTTCAAAACATTTCCTTCAAGAATTTTGCAGAAGACTCCGTTGCAAATTAAAAGATTTAGAATTTTTTGTGAGCTTACCGTTTTTTTTCTGTGCCTCTTTTGGACTTAGTAAATTTGCCTTTAATTGAATATAAACTTGAAGACTTTGCGTTTTTATTTTACCTTGCTTCCTATATCCAAATATGAGTTTTCACAAAAACTGGACTTAGCAACTTTTCACTTCAAGCTAGCGATATGTTAATGAGATGATTATAGGTCTTTCTTTGTAGGAATTTTTCATTGGCAACTAAACTGCCAAACATTTTTAGATATTCACATTAATAATTAGATTAAAAAAAAGTCCGGAAATAAAATTTTCACTGAATCGGGTTTCGATATAAGTACTTTCTTCCGATACCTACTCAGTACTCGGTTCAAAAGTATCGATACCAAAATTACTTGGTATCGGACGAAAAGTATCGAGTATGTACTTGTATTTACTAGTATCGTTTTATCCCTACTCATTCCTAAGAGATCTTTGGTTTTAAGTGGCTCGTAGGACACGCAGAACTGCCGGTAATCTTGTACGATCCTGTAAGTTTACCCCTTTGCTTTTATTCCCCTGAACGAGGCGCTCGTGGTTGTAAGCCGCAAAAATATGCAGTAACGATTGAATGCCATTTTAAAGCAAATTTCATGATTCGTAAAGATAACCCAACCATTCCATTTCAAGACGCGCAATAAAAACATGCAATTTCATGAGATTCCGAGTCCCACTCACTAGCATCCTCGGGGTTGGGTTGTTTATTTTCAACAAATATCTACTTTTGGGCATTTGAACAAAACTTAATTTTTTTTTTTTTTTTTGTGGTAGTTTTGTCAGAGTAGTTTGAGTGTGTATTGTATTGTGTATTGTGGTAGTTTTTTTCAGAGTAGTTTGAGTATTGTGGTAGTTTGGTCAGAGTAGTTTGAGTATTGTGGTAGTTTTGTCAGAGAAGTTTTGTATAGTAACGATGCTCTCACATTTGATGCTAGCGCAATGAAATTTTACCATAGAAAAACAGCTTCGAATGATTTTAGAACGAAAACTGAGATTAGATTGTATGACGTGGTATGCCCAACCGCCTTCACAAGCTGCAATTTCTAAATGAGCTTTAGCCAACGTCGCACTTTTAAAATATTCCGTCTGATTTCCCACCGTGAGCAATATTAAAATCCTTTGTGCACACATAGCATGCACATCACTCTCATTTAGTGTTTTTTAAAAACAAATATGTTTCTTTTACGTTTTCATTGAAAACATATACTCCAAGGTTTCTTAACATTTTTCGCTTTCTTATTTGAGCTAGTGATGGGGAAGTTATCGATATTGTCGACAAAATAAATAGAAATAGGGGAAATTTCCCCTCCCAAATCCGAGTCGGTCGAGAAATCCGAGTTTGGTTAAGAATTGCAATTACACTCTTGGTATTGTGATTCTACTTCCGGAACAATTTCGTGCTATATGAAATATCTTTCTGACATGAAATTGGCCATTTCTTATAGATTTTGTCGCTAAACTCATCTCTGAAAAACATGCACAGCATTTTAAAATACATCTATTGTCCTTTGACAAGCCGCACAGTGTGCTTTTTGAACACTGCACGCGAATTAATCGTAGCGCTTTCGACAGAAGCAGCATTTTGATACGAAACAAAATGGTTTTGAAAGCTAACGGAAGTCCCTTTCAATTGTGGCCACTGAGCCACAATTACACCTTGACCTTAAAAAAAATGGTCAAAAGTAGTGTTCTTCGAAAAAAAAACATGCAAAATACACTGGATTTATTCCAAAACAAAAAATTTATGTTTTTTTTTAACCGACTTCCAAAAAAGGAGGAAGTTATCAGTTCGTCTGAATATAGTTTTTTTTTAATTTTATTTAATTTTATTATTTTTTATATATATATGTTATCGCATAACTTTGGACCACGTCAACCGATTTCGATAATTCTTTTTGTGTCTCAGAGCTGGTCCCATACTAATCTGGTTAAGATTAGATCAGTGGATCATGATATATATACAAATATATATATATATATATATTTTTTTTTTATATGAGAGTTGAAGTCGGTTTTTTTTGGTAAAAATTACTTGTTATTATACTAGTATTATAGATTTTGAGACCAGCAACACGATTCCACTGTTCAAAATTCGAAGAAAAATTTGAACTCCTTAATTTAAAAAAGGCATTATTTATTGCAATTCAAGACCTTTATTATTAGCCAAGGTAGAAGCCTCTAGGCCCTCTGAGAGCCAATTTATAACAATTTTAAACCAAACATCGAAACTTCTGTACTAGTTTTTACTCCGAAATTAGAAAAAAAACTGCGTAAAATGTCGAATGAAATTTCGAAGTTTAACTTTGGAATCGTAATAATTTAGCTTTCAAAAGGCCTAGAGATTTCTACCTTGGCTTAAATTAAAGGTCTTGAATAGCACTATAACTGACTTGTTGTTCGAGGGATAAAAATTGTGTGAAGGATGCACAGCTGTATGCAAATAAAAAAATTCAATATATAATGCTTTTTTCAAATTGAGGGGTTGAAATTTTTTCATTTTTTAACCAGTGGAATCGTGTTTCTCGTCTCAAAATCTACAATATTAGTATAGTTTTTTTCAAAGAACACTATTTTTGACAAATTTTTTTAAGGTCAAGGAACGAATGTGGCTCAATGGCAATATTTTGAAAGGAATTAAATTAGCTTTCAAAGCCATTTTGCTTCATATGAAAATATTGCTTCTGTCGAAAGCGCTACGATTAATTGGCATGAAGTGTTAAAAAGCACACTGTGTGCCGTTGAGCTAGCTCGAATATCTTATTTTTCAGTCGATAAATGTAATTTTGCAATTTTAAAATTACTACGGTGTATTTTTCTCAAAAACATGACTCAAAACATATGATTTGTAAAAATATAATTCATTTGTAAACAATATATAATATAATAAAATAAAATGTCTATCATACTTGGGCGTACAAAATTTTTGATTTTTATTCAAAAAATTCAATTTTTATTCAATTCAAAAAAAAAGTTATTTAATTCCACGCACGATAGAAAGCCCAAGCTTGGGCTTCTGCTAAAGCTACTGAGTTGCGTCAAAATTCAAAAATTTGTATTATAAAGGTATGTGTGGTAAGATTTATAGAGTTTAGTTTTTGTATTTTTGTCGTCGTAATTAGTCATTTACTACGTTTATACGCACAGAATAATCGACTTAATTGAAAGCGCATT